ATACTTTAAAAAATAACTTTTTTATCAAATATTCAAACACTCTATTAGTTAAAAACAACTTTTGATTTCTATTTTTTAAGAAAAAACTATTTTCTCAGAGTCTCTCTCACTATAGAAAAAGAAAAAAAATGTTCAAATAAAAAGCCACCACTAGCTCCATAAATAAATAAAACGAAAAAAAAGACTAAAAAAAGAAAAAAAGAAAAAAAAACAATCTAATCTTGACCTGACTTGAGGGGGAGACAGATGGATCTAGTCTGGGAAACGAAGGAGGCTCCAGTTCACGCACGTGTATCCTCTCCGTTTTTTTCTCTTTTATTTCTATTTTTGGTTCCATTTCTATTTTTCGCTCACGTGAGTAACAAACTCTTTTCAATTATTACTCGACCCACGGATGGTTATGACCAGGTATGTTTTTTCTTCCTCTGTTTTCTTTTTCTTGTCTACTTTTTTTCTTTTTCTTTTTTATATTGAACCAGTTACCAAATCCAAAATCGGCTTGAAATTTTATTATTCGATTGCTATCTCAGTTTCTCATTTTTATTTAGTTTCTTTTCCTATGTTGACTTCGTTGAGTAAGTTTTTGTTCTTGTTTTGTTTTTGGAAATCATTTAATGAAGCTCGGTTTGATGATTTCACATTAAATTTCTCGAATCTAACTGAGCTTTCAATGATATTGCATAATCTTAACCAGTAGTTTAGTTAGTTTTAAGGTTGCTGTTACAGTTCTATTAATTATTTTACTCTCTTCAGAGCAATTTTCAGCAACCAAATGAAGAATTCGCAGAATTATTGGTCTAAATTGTTTACTTGAAACTCAGAGATTAATTAAATCCTTGCTTGAGGATATTAGCCTGATTTCTGGCTAGAAGATTATATCTCTGCTAGGAGAAAACAAAAATCATAGAGCTTTTTGCATTTTGAATCTGGTCTTGCATTTTGTTTTCAATTCTAAAATGGTATGTATTTTTGCTGCTGAATTTGTTGGAGATATTTGGTGCTGGTGTTTGGCTAATTAATTTCTTCTTTTTTTCATTTCAGGTACCGTTCTGGCTCTGATTGCTAATTTTTTCTCTGATGGAGGATGTGAAAATTACTGAAGTTATGTCTCCTCTGGAACCTTCTTCATCATCCCAAGATAATGGTCCTTCTCATGGTGAAGCTTCATCAAGCCATGCGACAAATGCAAATGTAGAACTTGATCAAGTTGCCATGGAAGACGATTCAGTTGATAAAACAGAGATAAACCACCAAGGTGCATTGAAGGATGATTCCAAATCAGAAGCAACACAAAATGTGCTGAATGTACAGGATGAATCTCGAGAGAAAACTGCAGGCGTCAAAATTTCCTCGAATGGTCCACAAGATCAAGAGAAAACCGAAGACATACATAATTCCTCAGATGGACAGAAATCTCAAAGAAAAACTGAACCCGTACCTAATTCTTCTGGTGTACGGCAACCTCAAGATCCTATCAGCAGTCCTCATGTCCATGTTGATGATGGTATACCTGCTACTTCCTCTCATATTGAACGAGCACAATCCGAGGAGCATGCTTTGCCCCATGTAAAGGTTAGAGTGCAGCAAGATGAGCTTGCTTCTCCTCATGCAAAGGTTGCCAGTCCTGATTTCAGGACACCGAACTCTTCTGATTCTCCTCGACTTTTTAAGCAGAGTGACATGAACGGAGGTCTAATTGATACGGCAGCACCTTTTGAATCTGTTAAAGAAGTTGTTTCCAAGTTTGGAGGAATTGTTGATTGGAAAGCCCATAGAATCCAGACTGTAGAGGTACAATCAATCTGCCATTGTCATTGATGTCACACACCCTGTTGCATTTTCTTGATGATAATTACTTTTCAGCACTATTCGATCAAGCACTTGCCAATACTTTTGATAAAGAGACGGGCAACAATATTTCTTGTTTCCCTATCTTCTTGTGGATTTTGCAGCAAAGAAAATCTCTGTGTCTGTGTTTAATAGAAATCTACGTTGTAAATGGCATATCGGAAACAAGAATGTGCTGTTGAATTGGTGCGTGTTGAAGCCTATGGGAATTCCGGTTGCACCAGTAGTTTAGGAAAGGTTGGATATCTATTCGATGGTTTATTTATTTATTTTCATAAGAGGTTGTCATTTGAGGAGGCTTAAGATGAATGTACCCTTGAGTCTGTGATGAAAGCTTTAGTATGATGTAGGAAGCCACTTCGCATCATTTTGATACAGCAATAGAAGAGAGTAGAGGATTTGGGTTTAGACATTCAATCTTGTTAGTTTTGACTAAAAACATCAGCATATTCTAATGTATGATCGATCACTTACGCTGCTTTTGGTGACGCTCCACAAGGAAAATCCAAAATGTTTTCTTATCAAAGTAGTGAATGCATCATCACTTCAGCAAAGACTGCCCTTTTGCTTCCAAAAAATGATGTCAAGAGTTGCTGCTGCAAACTGCTTCTTTGCTCATTTTATTTTCAAAAATATTTTCATATTTGACTGTTTCTTGGAAATGAAAGTGGAAATCAAGATATTTATGCAAAAGGGAATCTTATCTAACTGTGCATTTTTTGCCTGTGTAAGAATTGGAAGCTTCTCTTCTTGGATTAAGTGCTGGCCTAGTGATTTGAGTTCTTTTTTATTTGCTTCCAATCATTGCATCCGTTTGATGGCTGTGCTCCGCCAGAAAACATTTTTTCCATCTGGATAATTATTAACTTGTAGGCCTTCTCTCTAACTTTGTAGAGACGCAAACTTGTAGACCAAGAACTAGAGACGGTACAAGTGGAGATGCCTGAGTACAAGAAACGGTCAGAGGCTGCTGAAGAGGAAAAAATACAAGTTCTTAAGGAGCTGGACAGCGCTAAGAGACTTGTTGAAGAGCTAAAGCTCAATCTGGAGAGGGCACAGACTGAAGAGCATCAGGCAAAACAAGATTCTGAGCTTGCCAAGCTCAGGGTGGAAGAAATGGAACAGGGGATTGCTGATGAAGCTAGTGTTGCAGCCAAGGCACAGCTTGAGGTTGCTAAAGCCAGGTATTCAGCTGCGGTGTCAGAACTAAAGACTGTTAATGATGAGTTGGAAGCACTGCACAAGGAATATGCTTCTTTGGTCAGTGAGAAAGATGAAGCTGTTAAAAAAGCTGAAGATGCTGTTTCTTCATCCAAGGAAGTTGAGAAGACTGTAGAGGAACTTACAATCGAGCTGATTGCTACCAAGGAATCCTTAGAGTCTGCGCATGCTGCTCATATGGAAGCAGAGGAGCAAAGAATAGGAGCAACCATGGCCAAGGAGCAAGATTCTCTTCATTGGGAGAAGGAGTTAAAGCAAGCAGAAGAGGAGCTCCAAAGACTTAACCAACAAATTCTTTCAGCAAAGGATCTCAAATCAAAACTAAACACTGCTTCAGCTTTGCTAGTTGATTTGAAAGCTGAACTAGCAGCTTATATGGAATCTAAAACAAAGGAGGGAACTGAAGGAAAACCAAAAGCTGAGCAACAGGAACCAGAGAAAACAACTCACACCGACATACAAGCAGCAGTTGCTTCAGCAAAGAAGGAACTGGAAGAAGTAAAACTCAACATTGAGAAAGCAACTGCAGAAGTAAATAGCTTGAAGGTGGCTGCCATATCGTTACAAACAGAGCTGGAAAAAGAAAAATCATTGTTTTCTGCAATTAAGCAGAGAGAAGGAATGGCCGCAGTAACAGTTGCTGCTCTTCAGGCTGAGCTGGACAAGACTAGGTCAGAAATAGCCCTGGTTCAGATGGAAGAGAAAGAAGCCAGAGAAAAGACAGTTGAGATTCCCAAGCAACTGCAACTAGCAGCGGAAGCAGCCGATGAGGCCAAGTCACTCGCTCAAATGGCTCATGAAGAGCTATGCAAAGCGAAGGAAAAAGCAGAACAAGCAAAAGCTGGTGCAAGTACGATGGAGAGTAGATTACTTGCAGCTCAAAAGGAAATAGAAGCTGCCAGAGCCTCTGAAAAATTGGCTTTAGCAGCGATCAAAGCTTTGGAAGAGAGTGAATCAGCTCAAAGCACCAATAATGTGGATTTACCTACCAGTGTAACACTCTCTCTAGAAGAGTACTATGAGCTCAGCAAGCGTTCCCATGAAGCAGAGGAGCAGGCCAACCTGAGGGTAGCAACTGCTATTTCTCAGATCGAAGTAGCCAAGGAATCAGAGTCAAGAACCGCCGAGAAATTGGAACGAGTGAATCAAGAGATGACTGCAAGAAAGGAAGCTCTGAAAATTGCATTGGATAAGGCTGAGCAGGCGAAGGAAAGGAAGTTGGGTGTAGAACAGGAGTTGAGAAAGTGGAGGGCTGAGAATGAGGAACGACGTAGGGCTAGTAATTCTGGTCTGGGAGCTGCAAACCCCAATAAAAGCCTAAGGGAAAGCTTCGAGGTCAGGAAAGAATCAAAGAGTGTTGATCGTGTACTGGATGCCGCCGTCGATTATGTTTCAAATCCAAAATCAAATGTACCTGGAAGTAACGCTGGAACCGATTCCTCTCCAGAAGTGAAGGCTCCAAGGAAGAAGAAGAAATCGCTGTTCCCGCGATTTTTATTGTTTTTCGCGAGGAAAAAGTCACATCCTTCCAAGACAGGATAACTTCGAGGCACTATCCTCCTTGTCATGATTTACCTCTCTTTACTGGGTATTTTTTTTCACATTGATAGGAAAAGATGAGAGTTCTTAGTTAAATGTAAATGTTTGTGATTGATTGTGCATTACAAGTTCTTTGGTTTATTTTTTTGTCTCACTGATTCATGATACACATGTAGGCTTTTGGACTTTCGACCATCGAATCGAATCATTGTAAAGGTGTGAGATTGGTTTAATCAAAGAATTTTGTCAATTTGTAAGTTTGGTGACAAACAAGATTGGATTTTTCCCCTGTGGGTATCAAATTGCATGCTCGATATCGCTGCCGGACATCGGCAGCAGCATCTTTCAATTTCTTATTAATACCATAAAAACAAGACAGGCTCTTCTGGTCGACGACATTAGCTCAGTGGGTAAAGCGGAGGACGGTGGTGCATTGACGAAATCCTTAGGTTGCTGTTCGAATCCCCGCCGGTCGGAATGTTCTTGTTTTTCTTTTCCTTATCTGTATTAATTGACGACATCAATCGCCAAATTCAGTACCTGTACTTTCGGTAGGGAAAAAAAATTAAAAACAAAATTGAGTTCCTAGATTTTAATTTTTTGTATTTAAGTTCTTGCACATCTAAATGGTAAGATACACTGCATATTGACAATAATTGTGTGAGTAAAATTAATGAACCGTAATTTGACTAATATTAATATCCTCCTTTCAAAAAACATTTTCTTAAATCTTTTTTTATAATAAAAAAAGATATAATTATGTGGATAAAAGTCAAATCAAAATACATGGAGATAATCAAATAATTTGGTATTAATGAATATGTATATATATATATATGTTTGTGTGTGTGTGTTATTTTTTATTGGCTTAAGTTCATTTGATAAATTAATTTAACTGTTATTTATACCGTTTCTTTTGAAATAATAAACTCTAACCAATAGTTAAAATAATACTTTTTGGAGTTTTTACATCAAACTTAAACAAAAAAACAAAAGATTACAACATCTCATATATAATATTTATACTTGTAACAAAGCTGGTAAATAACATGACAAAATTCTAATATTATAGGTAATATAATTTATACATTTGATTGTTTATATTTACAATCACTCAATGACTTATTTCAGCACTAGTTTTAACCCGAGACGGGTTTTGTGTAACTCACATCTGTGAAAAGAATTCCCGCAACTCCAGCCATGGCAAAGCGAGCGAGCAGGGACCAACTCTGCCTGCACACACCACTTTCCGGACCATCATCTCCAAGGCCAAGTGGGTCAAAGTCAAACCCAAAATCTCCAGCCAAACTAAACATAGAGAAACACAGCAAGATTAAGCAAAACATAAACAACAAACAGAAATTTTCAAGTTCAGGTCGAGAATTAGACAGAGCACAGTGAGCGACTCACGTTCCATCAAGATATGGTGGAGGATCAAGCCCAGGAAGCCATGTGGGTCGCTGTAGGGCATGAACCACAATTGGTTTGCAAGGAGTGCTTCCTGGTTTGGCAGGCAAAACACATCTGCTGCACCATATGATGACTTATTTATGTTCTTAGGCAAGGAGCATAACGAAGAAGAAAAACATGGCTGAATAAGGAAAGCTTCACCCGTTGCAACAGCCATTTTTCTTCTCTCCCTCTCTCTCTATACACGCGGGTGGTCACCGAAGGCATCCATCATAGCTACGTATACAACTACCATCCAAAATAAGAACTCATCCATAAAGAACAAGAAATCACAACGACAGCACTCCAACCTGCTGAAGACAGGAATTTCGGATTCAATGAGAAGCAATAAAACAAGATAGGAAACATCAAAATACTAGCAATTTGACGTAAAACTCCAAATACAGTGTAATTAAATATCATTCTTCCTGGAAGATAAATCCAAACATACCTAGCTAATCAAAAATTAAAAAACATAATTCAGAAATTTTAGAGAAGCATTTCCGACACCGAGAGAGTGATCAACTGGGGAGCCATATTCAGCAATCAGCGCCTGCTGGCTATGCTGAAGGAGCTGACTTTCATGGGGGTTGCAATCACCAGTGGAGCCTCAGGAGAATCGCTGACTGCAAACTTGTCATGCATGAAACGGCTATCAACAATGGAGTCATCCTTAAGGACTACCTTGTAGCAGTAACAGCTCTTCAAGCCCTCTTGATTACGATAGCACTCATGGGAACCATTCTTTACCTGCTGGAAGTTCCATATCGCACTAAACTTGCCAGCTGTTGCAACCAAATGGCGCTCCTGCTTCCCATTCTCTGTGACCTGCCAAAGTTTTTTACTCACATAATGTTAAAATTATAATGCATAGACCATCACAGCAGACACTTTAGGTGATATGCAAGTACAGTAGGGGAAAAGGAACTACGCATAGAAATCCCAGCCCCACTATTTCGTTTGACTAAAGCAAGAGCGTCTATTGACAAATATTAAAATGGATTGTCACTAAGTATATTGTTTCACAACTAAGTATATGTTGCTAATGCTTAATATGCAATTTTAGACGTGTAAGGTTCAACTGAACAAGTTTCAGTGCCATGCATCATCATTGTGGTTGCTGAAATATGACCATGGTCTTTCACTGGCGTAGGATGAAACTAGATTGATGAACAGCTTTTTTCCACTCCATAATACTTAGCTTCCAACTAAGGCTTCCGCGTCAAGTTCTACGAAAAAATAAATTTCTAAATTTTGTTTTTGGTGAAGTTCATCAAGCACCCAAAACTGGGTGAAATTTTTATATTTTGTAATGGGAAACATGCAAGTTGGGCACAGAGCATTGCTGGAAGGATTCGACACTATCAAGGATATATTAAAGAGATGACCTTAGCTAAACAATCAGGAAATAAATGTCATGAATCCAAAGCTAATGCAACAAGAAAAATTCATTGCAGAAAACCAACTAATCCCAGAACATATTCAAATCCTCATGAATTAATTGACTTGAAACAAGTGTGCAATACTTAAGCCTACAAGCATTATTCCTATACCCTTTTAACAGAGAGATCACATAGAACAATATTTCATCTACAAACAAGGGTGAAGCCACACACTGCCGGACACTTCTTATTTCTAGAATCTAAATATATACATGGTTATAGACATTCTTAAATGCAACGGGTATTGTATAATTCCTTAAAAATGGTCCTGCTAGACACTGTTTTTCTATGTTATAGATAAAAAAAAATAGTTAGTAAGAAATCGTGTGTAGGAGGAGCCTGGGTTAGAAAACCACCTGAAATACATGCTAACTAAAACCATTTTCCACCTCCCTATAACTTTCTGAAGAAGCAAATAAACATCAAAGCAACAACTCCATTAAAGTTTTTGCTAAATCTCACATTTGTCACTAATGCAACAAATCCATAACATATTATGCGGAGAAGGAAAACAATTAGTAAAATGGTGAACAAACCAAAATAAGGCAAATAAAATTAACATCCATTTTCATTATGCTTATCCAGAAAATTCTGCCCCAGGAACCTACAAGGCTTGGCATTTAAAGCAAATGAATTCACATGTTGAATTGTCTAGGCATTGATAAAATGGTCAAGGAAAAAAAGAAAGAATTCAATTATGTCCAATTATCACCAATAACTTATGCATCTCATGGTCATGGTAGGATTGCATACATATCATATGCATTAAACAGAAGATGTACCACAAGAATTGACAACTCAATATGAAAAGGGATACAAATCTACTTACCCAAGAGAACTGAGCCTTTTGGAACTTGTTATTAACTCCAGCTAGATGTGAATCCAGAGGAGTCAGCTTCAACAATCTCGGAGCTGCAATCCTGTTACCCATACGACCATTAAAACCAGTCTTCATCTTACCATCCTTGTCTGTGAAAAGAGTGCAGATAAGGATCAAATATGCATCGGTGGTGCCCAATATCCACTTCCCATCAAAGGTAACATCAACATGAGTAATAGGTGATCCCAGGCCAGGAAAAGCTGTTTTTGCCTGCCGCATCGAATTGCCTGAATACAATCGAATCTTCCCATCACGAGACCCAACAACAATTGATCCATCACCTGTGCTCGCAAAGCACTGGAAGTTAGTCCCTCTTGAAAACTGATGTCCTTGAGTCCAATTCAGAACAGGAGTATTAGCTGTAGCAAGATTTTGAACAATCCCATGCCGGTCACGCATATCCCACCTGCAAAGCCTATTGTCATCCAACCCCAAAAATGTAAATCCTGACGGATCCAACTGTGCTCCCTTGCTATCATTTGCAATATCCCTCATGGTAATATCAGTTCCATCCTTTTCAAACCTCCACTCAGTAATAATCTTCCCAGTCTCAATGTCAAGTTGATGCAAACCAGTAGAATGCAATTTCCCTTCATTCATCGGACTCATAAGCAACATATTAGTCTCAGCCCGCATAAGAAGTGCCTTTTTAGGAGTCGAATGCACCAAATTCGAAGCACTCCTTTGATTCCCACTTCCAAAATTGACATAAGCACCTTTTCCATGAATCCCGTGGCTAAAGTTCTTAACGACCTGAATCCCTGAATTACCCACCAAGAAACTGTTATCCAGCGCACCCAATGCCAAGCTCTGTATCCCTCCATTGGCTGCCTCCTCAAATTCCTCTTGCAGATCTTGATTTCCCCTCACAGGGGTCACAGATCCAGGGCTTTTCAAGAAATCATCCTCTGCATCCTCCCACATAGAATCATCTGCCTTTTCCGGGTTCGCCCACCCAACAAAATCCTTCCCGTAAACCTTAACCTTGTTTGCTTCATTGGACTCGTACCCAAAAGTATTCTCAAACAAACATTCCTGGTACTTGCTATTAAAAACCTTATAATCTTCATCACTAAAAAACTTTATAGCCCAAACACCGTCAGCAACAAAATCAACGCGGCGCTGTTCCTTAAGTGTTTTCAAATGCATCTCAACAGCGACTTTCGCTCTAATTTTTGTACTAACCTTCAAAACCCACCAAGAAACTCCTTCAGATTCTGACTCCGAGTCCTCCTCTTCATCTTGAGCATTAATTTTTGAGGTCTTAATGAAAGAATAAGAAGTCAACTTCTCTGAAGAAACCCATTTGGCTTTTGGGGTGTTACCGCCGATATGAAGGTAAAGTTTGACACCATTTTTAAAATTAGAGTGAGGACTCTGCTGGGTTCGGGTTGTTGTTGAGGGGTATTTGAGTTTTAGGGCTTTAAGCTTGGATTCGACTTCATCAAGAGAAGATGGGGTTTTGGGTCTGTTTCTTCCTGTGGAAGATGATTTTTCTGGGGTTTCATTGCTGACATCTTGGTAGTTTTCTTCTTCTTCCGTTTCTTCTTCTTGTTGGCCCTCTGTGTCCGAGTCTGAGAGCTCCAGATCTTCACGGCTTTGAGAGCCCCCCATTTTCGCTTCTTTTTCTCTTGAGACAGAGGAATGAGAGTTTAGGTTTTTTTGAAAGAGCACCAGAGAGGGATTGGTTAGAGCGCCAAACTCTA